TGGTGATGATTCATTTGAACTTTCAAATATATCGTCATTGTCATTTGAAGTAAAAATTGAAGGATTTATTGTATTTGATTGATATTGTATCTAACAAGGGTAATTGAATATTAAATAACAGTTGTTAAACATTAACTTACCCAAGGTTTTGACAATTGCTTTTTTTGTTGTTGTCGTTTATTACTTGATGATGATGGAGACGAAGAAGATGATGATGACGATGATGAATATGTTGATTGTATTATAAGATCATTACTATTATTTGTTGCTATAGAATAACGTTTAGATTTAATTGAAGGTGAAGAATTTGAATCATAACCAGTTGATGATAATGATGTTGAAGAATGAACACGTCTTGACGATTTTAACATATTATATGTTTCATTAGATATTACTGATTGATTATCTTTTAATAATTTACATGTTGTTGTTGTTAAATGAACAGGTTTAGTATGAACATCTGGTGTACTTTGGAAACTAGATACATATTGTCGACTACTACCTGTACGATTTAAAGAATTTGAAGTTAATGAATCGTAACTATCAGTATAATTAATAACAGCTGACATAGTTAATTGACGATTTTTATTGAGTTGAGATGTTGTCAAACTAGATTCGTCTAGTGTAGATAAAGGAAGTTCTTGTTCTGATAATGCAGTAGTATATAAAAGTGTTTCTGAAACAAAAAGAAAAGAAAAGATATTATTATTAATATCGCTTTGCTCACATGATTAGGATAGCCAATAAAAAGACGGGCAATATAAAAAGCTGAAGAATAAAATGAAAATATGGAGGTGACCTATGAGTAATAAAATACTGGTATTACTCGCCTACAATTTTGGCGTCATAGCCTTTACCATCCTCTTCTTTTTTCTTCGTTTCTTCTTTTTTTGCTATCTCGAAATATTTCATTGTTTACTCTTCTCTTATATATTTTTTTTACATCATTGAAGACAATGAATCCTACTACTTAAATTTCGTGTACCAAAAAATAACAGACATGAAGAAAAAGTGACGACCTTCACACAGCCATCTATGTTTTATTTCTTTTTTTTTTATATTATTATTTCTTTTTTGTTCCTTGTTGATGAATGAAAAAGAGATAAAACAAATCTTTGACATTCATTGAAATGAATGTATTAATAAAATATACTCTTATATATACATATATATATCGGTGTTTTCTTTCACATAAGAAAAAGAAATGTTTTACCTTTATTTAAATTATTCGCATGAGACAATGCTATTGATTGTTTAAATAAATTTTCATCTTGTTTTAAAGGATACATTATTTTATGTTGAAGAAATTCATTGGTAAGTTTTAAACGAAATGTTTGATATTCAGCAAGATAATCTCGATAACGTTGTTCAAGTGATTTATTATGATTTCTTGTAATATCATCAATATTTGTTATTGTATGCTGTAACTTCTCATCGTCAGTAACAGGTAATCGTAGTAGAACATCAGAGAACATAGGTTTTTGTTGTCGCTCATAAATAGTTGATAATTTTTTTGTAGAACATGTTTGTTTTTCAAACATTTGTCTTATTTGTTGAAAATGTCCTTTTGGTAAACTACGTACACTTTCGCGTATACGTGTACCTGAACGTACAACACTATCATCAAATTCACGTTGTTGTTTCATTGATTAATTATTATACCCTATAAAGAATAGATATAAAATATATATGCAGGATCAGATTGATCAACGCTATTTATGAGAAATAACATATTTAAGCTGATTAAAAATTCGTCAAGATAAAGCAACTCATCGTTATCGCTTCGGTAAAGATATATTCACACGACGTAGTACATGATATCGTCTAGTGAGAGTCGTCGTCTACTTATAGCCTTAAGACTGATTTGTGTATACATATATATTTATATATGTATATGCATTTATTCACTTCACTCATTTGAAATTGAGAGAAGTAGAGAAGAGAAGAGACTAATAGAGCTTAGAACCTCAATTAGTTGTATTGTATGTATATATTGAACAAATCACCCCGAAGGATCTATTGCGATTAACACTCGTCGCTGAACATCTAAGATGTTTATGTTAACAAAAATTAACTAATATTATTCTACTTTTTTAAAAAAGAAAATAGGTAATTACTTAGAAGACCCTGGCAATGATATTTTTCTTTTTTTCACTTCTTGATATTTTATACATATATGGAGCCAGAGAAAAAAAAGCCCATAGGAATATGTTTTATTAGGTAATTATTTATATTTGATTTTTTTCTTTTTTTTTTATATGTTCTTCCATACATCAATAATCGATCATTATAAGAACTAAAATCCATTCAACAAAAAAAAAAAAAAAAACTAAATACTCAAAACGAAACGTACAATCAATCTTTATCTACCATGATTTGATTTCAAATAAAGAATAAGAAAAATTCAAATTCTACTTACGTATCAATCTTATTCATTCTTGTTTTACTTGACAATAGAACTTAACTAATACGAACATTATTCTTTGTCTAGTCGATATTTACATAGACATTATAATGAACGAATCTATACATATAGGATGTTTAACGATGCGTATCTAACTTATGAACTTATTATATTTCTTAAACGTATATTTGGCCTAGAAAGCAATAAAGAAAAATACATTGAATTTCTTACTTGTTGAATGATAATAACGTATATATCGTAAGAGTATTGACTCAGACTAGTTCTCTTAAGATTATATTTCATTGACAAAACAATTAAACAATGTAGACGACGTTGTCGATGTCATCTAATCTCTCAAGTGAATATCTAATCTGTATAGACACACACAAAAAATGACGAAAGGAATAGTGCATTGTATTCTATAGGTGCATGTATCTTTTTCTTTTTTATGTACAAACTCAATCGTATAAAACGAAAAGGTCAATTCGTTTCGTACAAGATATAGAAGTTGGATTGTTTGAACAACAAATTAAATACAAAGACAGAACATTGATGATAGAGCGAGAAAAAAGAAATATGCTCGTATAGACATAAATTGAAAAAAAAAAGGTGCAACCTTGAAACCAGAAAAATTCATTGTTTGATTAAAAAAATCCTTAGAAAGTCCATATAATTATCAGAATATTTGTTCAAAAACAATAAACTACAATTAACTGTCGAGTCATTTATTCCTTATCTTGAAAAAAAAATGTCACCCAATATTTAAACTAACAAATACGGTTGAATAATTTGTTCCGTTTTCTTTTCAACAATTAGAAAATAAAGAAATCATTTTTTTTAAGTAATCTAAACTGACATATAATTTCTCTAGAATATATTTCATGATTATTCACACACACACACACACACACAAAAAACTTATTTATTTGTCTATCGTTCTTTTTCTTTTTACAATCTTACCTTATTTGATTCTTGAAGTGAACAAACGAAAAAAGAAAGAAAAGCACAGTAGTTTTTCTCCTTTTGTATGATTTTTCTTATTGCTGTTTTTCTTGTCATGTGTTGATGATTATTGTAAATGTTATTATTCACAAAGTTGCCATGTCTGTTAAAGCATTATTTTCTAACAAATATGCATCTCATTTATACTGTCAATAGACTTAAAAGAATAAAATTATGCAACAATCTAAAATAAAGAAACAAACGAATAATAGATACATATTCGAGGATTAAAGTTTGTCTATCTTGTTTTCGTTGAAAACAAGATACTAATTATTATTGTTCAAAATAATAAGACACTATCAACTATTCCTGATATTCGGTTTTTTTTTCTTGTTTCCTCTCACCTACAAAATAAATATGCACACATAGGGCATGATTGTCAAAAAAAAAAGAAGGAAAGGAAAGGAAAAGAACAAGATCTAATGAGTGTACTTCGATTTTTTTTCGCATCGTTCTGTTTTGAGTTATATACAAAGTCATTTACTTTGTTCTCAATTGAGAACGTGAACGAAAGAAGAAATATGAATTCCACTTTCTATCTTGATGTATGTATACATTGAAGGTCAAGAGTTCGTTCATACAATATAAGCAAAAATATACATGTTATATGTATGTTCGATCTATAAGCTGCTGTGTAATTTGTCACAAGAGAAAGAGAGAGAGCGAAGGACATTCACATTGTATTCTTCTTTCACTCTCATATAATTGCTCTGTATTATACAGGTGACCAATTGAATTTTATTTTATATAACACACCTGTTGTTTTTAACTTATATACCAAACGAGGATAATCATAGGGAGAGAGATGCATGAAACCCATTTCAATGGAAAAAATGAGTCTTTTTCTCTTTCTTCTTTTTTTTTGTGTGCCATATTGTTTAATGATTGAAAAGTTTGATAGAAATGAATGATTTGTTTAAATAAACTAAATATTCAAATGAATTAGAAATTGTTAAGCTAACAAATTTGTTTCACATTCTTGAATATGTATATTCTTCTCGTTCGATAGAAAAGAAACAAATGACATTTGATTTTAATAATGAGAATTCTATTTACATAAATATCAAACAAGAGTTTATCAATTGTTGTTTCTAAGTATGAAAATAACTCTTTGAAGGTGACAAAAGGAAGAAGAAAAAAAAACAAATCTTCAAGAATCATACGTTTGACAACTATACCTATAGAATTGAATTCGAATAAAATTTCATGAATTTTATGAAGAAAAAAAGTTCCATTTTGGATGATGAAAAGGATCTAAAAATTTATGCATGTCCATTTCATTGATTAAAATGAATATTGTAATTAAGCAAATCTTATAAAAATTATTTTTTTAATCAAAGTCATGGAATTAAAATTCATAAAAATGTCCAATGTTAATGAATGAAACTTAAAATAAATCAATTTTTATGTTCATTCTGTCATTCGACACATCAATGTTTTTTTGAAAATTTTGTTTAAATTCTTAGATACATATTTCAAAAATCTTGTCAAATTCAGACAACATCAAAGTATAAATTGAAAGTAAATTAGTATCAAAATATCAAGAATTCTGATATTTTTTTGTCTTCAAAATTCTGTTTTACAAATTATAATTTTATGTTTGCATTGTTTGATTATTATTATTGTTGACCGTTGACGTTATTTCATCATTATGTTGTTCATTTTCAGCAATCACAATACTCGATGAAATTGAAGGTATTGGGTTATTTAAAATATTTCGATTACAAAGTGGACAACTTTGATGCGATAATAACCATGGATCAATACACGTTATATGAAAATAATGTGAACAAATCTCTTTCAAAGAAACAATAAATAAACAAATAAGTAAAATTGAATAGTTTTTTTTTTTCATACATACCAAGTTTTCGAAGTTTTTCTTTATTTTTAAATGTTTCTAAACAAATAGCACACATTGGTTCTCTATCATTATAATCATTATGTTCAGTATTTGCATCAAATGTAATAATTGGTGATCTATCGAGTACTTGTTGCGCTGATTTTGCAAGAGCTTTGCGTTGTTTTTTTTCTATCCGATTTTGTGTAAATCGTCGACAATGAAATGCAGCGAACCATCCAATAGTCAGAACGAATATAATTACAGCACATATACCAAGAAAAATAATTCCAATCAGACTTGTTGGTGATAATGAATTTCCATAGGGATTTTTTGATTTATCAATACCATCAAAAACATTACTGTATGGCATAATATATCTTAACTCAAATTCTTTTTTATTATATAATATTCGAGAAGATAAATTACGAAGAATTTGTTTGAAATGTCTATAATCCTCTTCCATTTCTAATACATATTGAGTTGAAAGGTATATATTTTGAAGACTTAAATATTTACCTTTAATAGATACAGATAGACTAAATTTTTAAAACATTAATACAAATATGACTATACTTTCGAAATTTGTTTGACAATGTTCACTAGAATGACGCAAAGAAATACATTGAATTGTTGTAACAGCAAATGTTTTGCTACTGATTTCATTTCCTTGTAAAAAATAAACACAATCGATCCCTGTTTGTCGAACTATATGCGTACGAATCGGTATTTGTACTGATGACAAAGGTTTTATACGTGAATAATAATAAAAAATAAGATCTATTCTTCCACTTGGATTTGATAATTTTTGAGATTTAATCAATTGACAATAAAGAAAAATAATTAAGAAAAATAGTCGTTGTTGCATATTATGAACAAATGTATTTTGTTCTTACTGATTTAATAAGAAAATGACGCTACTACAACTTGAGACTAACGACAAACACAAAAGAAAAGACCTTAACATTTGGCTTTTTATTCTTTCTAACTACGCATATTTTTTTCTTATTTAACATCCTCAAAATTAGATAATCTTCTGTTATGACGTAGACAAGTCATGCTATTTTCCATGATTCTAAAGTTTAGATGTGAGAATATATTGTTGTTATTACATGACAAACATAAAGACATGTCATTAAAACAGAATATAGAATTTTATATTAACAACAAAAAGTGCAAGTATATACGTTTCAGTCAATATTTTTCTTTAATGAGTGGCTAAAGAGAAGAAAAATAGATTTATCGTCATTTTTTCTTACTAGAATGATAACTACATTGTCCAAGTCAATATTTTTCTTCAACGTTAGAAGAAATTCTTTTTTTAGTTTTTCAAAAACGATTTCTAATATATAGCGCATCATCGGAGTAAAAGTTTTGTTTGGAATTAATTGAAACATAAAACCGAATAGCTGACAGATTATTGTATTCTTTAGTAACATCAACTATTTTCTTTGAATATTAAATTTCGTTTGCAAAGTTTATCATATATCCAATCACCTATATTAGATTCAAGTTTTCGAATCACAACAAAATCAGAATCTTGAAATGATAAATTAAATTCTTGATATTATATATCATATTCATAAACATAATTAACATAAACATCCACTAGTCTGCAAATACGATATTTTTTTTCGAGTAACGAAAAATTCGTTGTAAGAGATAATAAACTGATTCAGAAACAATATTGTTTTTAACTTTTATGACTCGCTTTCAGTTGAAACATCAGTAACATCATAGTTTGCATCTATAATGGCGAATTTTACTAGTACTAAGCAATCTTTATAATGTTTTTATTTTGTGATAGTTCTGATCTTTAGATGCATTTTTTTATTGTATCAGAGCTAGGCAACTCATTTCAATCACATCGGAAAATTCTAATCAATATATTTGCTCTTATTTCTCTATATTGAACGAGTGAGAAAGTGTTTTATTATTGTTCATCACTTCGAAAAGTTTCTTTCTCATCACATCAGAATATCATTGGATTGTTTATTATAAGATGATTTGGGATATTTATTCAACAACAAGAGCAGACTAAAAGAGAAGTTCAAAGATGAATCATCTATTATCGAACAAGATATGAATATATTGTAAGAGATATATGTTTAACCATAGTTATCATATCAGTCCACCCAAACAGTTGCTATGCATGACATTGCTTTAGTAGATAAAGATAAATAGATATAGTACCCATGATCTAAAAAAAAATAGGGAAAACAGTGATATTTTGAGAGCTTAGGTACATAAATTGTATTTAGTCCTTCGACAAAGGAAAAGGAAATAGCGATAAGCTAGTGCAACTGCTGCAGAAATATATATAAAAATGTGAATGTGCATCAAGTATGTCGAGATAAAAGTTCTGGAGAGAAATTACAAAATAAATTAAAGTCATAATTTGACTTTTCATTAGTGTTTTTTATGTAAACTGATCTTAAAGCAACAAATTCAGAAACTTGTTTAAATTGAGTTGAATATAATTCAGAGATCTTGAGAAAGTTCTTTCATTCAATTCACAGCAACTCGTAGTTCTTTGCAAAAAGTTTGAAATAGGTTCATGAATTGAATTAACTTTAGTTGAGTTGTGAAATTTTTGAATTGAGATGCCCACCTCTTTGTTACAGATTTTCTTGTCTGATTCTTTTGTTTCCTGTACCAGATGCTATGATAGTTGTGACTTTTTTTATTGACTACTATGATAGCAACAGATGGTTGTCTGATTTTGACACCTGTGGTAATATTAAATATTCATGAGACATGTGGCAATACTACTTGTATAACACAAAGAAAATTTTTTATACGAAGTAAAAATCCTGAAAGTGATCAACTATTATGTTCTAATTCAAAAACGAAAATCCAATAGAACTTCAAGATTATCTAAAATAAAAAAAGAAGTTTAAGTTTACAAATAGAGTCAATCGCTGATTTTCAAATGGACAAAAATCTTTGATAAAGAATATTATCACAATACAAAATAAGCAGAAAAGTATTGAGCTACAAGAGAATCGAAATAAAATAGATGAGATGAGACGAGATAACTATCGGATTATGTTTTGCAATATTTGAATAGAAAAATATGATATTGTTACTTGTTTATGATCAATAAGATACCTACATATGGAAAATTTCTAAGTTCATATGATGAAAAACGATAGTTCATCAAGATTTCGAGAGTGCCTTTTTTTTTAAAATATTTTCTTGTGTAAGAAAAAATAACGTATAAGATGTACATGGTCATAATGAATCGTCTTTTGTCCTAGACTATGAACTTTTCTAATCTTTAGTCACTACACCAGCAATATTTTTGTCTTTAGATTCTTCTTGTGAGCCTGTCTTTTTGGTCTTAGTTGTATTCGGTGCCTTTGTCTCTTTATCAACAGCAACAGCAAGAATTAATCACAGGAATAACAGTCTTAGTACTGGTTTTTTGTGCTTGCGATTTTCATGATGATAGCAATTACTTTCTTAGTTACTCTGATGTTAGATAATTTCAAAACAGCATGTTCCAGTGATATGGTTCTTGTATTTAATGCAACGATTGGTGTTCATGGGACAGTCACTGTTGTTGTCGTTGAAGCTGTCATGCTTGTTGAAATGGTGGAAGATAATGATTGAGTACTTTTAAATCATGCCGCATATGATGCAGAAGCATTGATGAAGGATTGGTTATTTACGTGTTTTGAATAGTTATTGATTCTGTCTTTGATTTAATATTATTCTGTGCAGTTGAAAAAAAAGCAGGTAAACTAAAATAAATGTTTTCCTTTCCAACAAGACAAACTTAGTACTGTGCAATCAAAAACTTAGCATTCGTGTCGTAGGAGTTTTTTTTTGGTAGAATTACTACAATCGATTCTTGTGCTTCCTCTAACTTTTGATCAGTTGTTGTTATTGTTTTTGTCTATCTTGTGTAAACGAAAAAAAAAGCAAATTCGAGATATTTCATTTTTCTTTAGTTAACCAGTATCTAACATCATCTGTAAACTGACATCGTTTTTACCCGAATTTGCTTTTGATGAGTCATTTAATGAAGACTTTTTTGATACCAGCTGATTTCGATATTGAGTTTTTTAACATCGACTGATGTTACATCATATAGCTCTTAAGTTTGAACAAGACTATCTCATTAACTGCTTATGATTATTGTGTAGTTTTTGTATTTGTTTATCAGTTTCGCCAGCACTCTACATATGCATTGAACAATGGATGGATTTTTTTTTCAAATCTCTATTTGATTAAGTTTGATGAAGATATCTCACAATTTTAGTTTCATTGCTTGATTTATTTAATGATTGTGTTTAATTTTCTGAAGATGAAGGTTTACTTTACGTCAGCGATCCATCTTGTTGCAGGCCTTGCTTTCACATATGCCATTATCGTTTCTTTTCTTTTTCTTTCTCATCTAGTTGTCCTCAATGGTGATATACATACGTATATACATACACATGTTTTTCCCTAGATGTAGTTTATTATGTAGTATTGTGTGTGGATGTGATGAAACATGTCCCTGTACGTATACTTTTAAAGAATTTAAAAAAAATTAAAATCAAGGACAAATATCTTTTAGACCCTGAAACATTTAATATGTCAGTTTTTTCTACTATTGTCATGATCGTTTTGAATTTGTCCTACGTCTATAAACCGAACATATGCATACCCTACATGCAAATTTGGAAACTAGAGGAAAAAAAAAATAAGAATTTCATCCATTCATGCTAATTTCCATACACAGAAAAAGAATAAGTTTGATTGAAAATTTTAAGATTATGACTAATTTCAATTTCTTAGAAATTACATAAACTATTGGCGTTTTTTTTTTATTGTCATAAGTTGTATTGTTCTTATAGCAAATTTTACTCACCACATGAATAGCTCTATCAGTACTACCATCGACTGAAGTATCAGTTCTTTTACCGTTCAAATCCAAACTGATCAAACCATCGACTGCATCCGTTTTAGGAGAGAACAACCCCAGGGTGTCAAATCGCTTTTGGGTGAAGTACATGCTCACACAATAGACCTCAATGAGCTATTAAATACCCTACAAGGGTTTGGTCTTTCAGGCCTCCTGGGCAGAGATATGTGATTATTAGTATTGTTAGGTTTGCCGTACTACTGTACTAAGATAGTAAGGAACTAACTGAGATCGATTCTCAGTCATAAGGAACTTTTGACTGCATCATAGTATTCACTATAGAGAGAACACTTGAGTATCAGATAAGCTTGACTTATGCGTGCTTTATTGGAATTATATTGCAGACATAAAAGAACCTTACAGTGTCGAATACAATAGTTGAAAATCGAGCCATGATCTTTTCTGGAAACGAGGAAATGTGGCAGATATCGTGTAAACATTATGTACGGCTTGAGAGGTATTGATATCATTTATGTTACAAGTTGTTTATCCATATTTTACATTTCTCAATGTTTGTGGAAGTTTGTCAACAGATTTAGGAGGAACTAAATGATGAATGTAAATGTCTATGTTCATATAAAAGATGAATTTATGATTATGAAAATACATATTCTTTGGTTTCACATGTATTTGCGTAGTACTCGTTTGTTCTGTGCTCATACTTACTATATCAATTGTTATATGTGATCATGTGGTCACTTTGTTTTTTTCCTTTTTCTTCTCTTCTTTCGTTCTCTTGTATAAAAACGGAATGTGATAGAAAAAAAACAAGAGAAATATGGCAGAAAAGATTTTTTTGTCCCTTCATAATTGATCACCTTTGTTATTAGTGATGCTTAATTATAACAGCTCACAATTGATGTATAGCTCGAATAAATTTTACTCACATACATACATCGGGATTTGGATGAATTCAGTTTATCTCAAAGTATGTATGTGCTCGGCTATAACTAATTTAAAATTGGCTTTTAACTACTTTCTGACGAGACAAAACTTAATGAAAACTTTCTTCCCGAAAGCCGGTGTTTTGGGGGATATCAAAATGAATGAGGGTGTGAGTGTGTATGTATGTGCAAGACTTTTTATTTCACTCTCTGCAGTACCCACACACCGCACCTACACCTAACCATATATTTGCATCCCTAAATCCATACCCGTACTCACGCCCTGGCATCTCAGACGAAGACCAAACAGAAATAGAGCCATCAAGAATACAATATTATCTTAAAAAGAACAGATGCAAACTTTGATAAAATATCAAATAAAATCTGCTCTTAGAAAACACAAACATAGTAACAAATCACAAAAATCAACTGGATCCATTGAAAAGACATTACGAGAGATATAAAATAATATTATTTATTAGTAAGATATTTCTTAGCTATTATTGATCATCAACCAATACTGAATAGAATTGTTTGGTCTCTACGACTCATTATATAGTCTGAAAGAGTACATCAAAACAACAAAAGTGAAGATAAAAACAGTAATTGATGTACTCCTATGGAAACAGATAATAAGTACTATGAGCGTTTATTACACTGATGCTGTTGATTGTAAAAGTATTAGTGAGCTTCCTCCTTAGAAGAAACAAATAGGTGTTTGTTTTTTTGTTCTTTACACAATACTTATTCATATGAATCATCATGGCATCTCTTCGTATGGATAGCAGAAGTGTTCAAACATTGATATAAAAGAAACAAACTTATTGAATATTGAACCTGTATATTTACAAATATACAAGATTTCATTAGAAAATCAAAAAAAAGACAACATCTGTTAAAACATTCAAAAAATCTGAAGTTAGTGTACGACATGTTGAATGTATTCTCAAAATTATAGACAAAAAAAAACAAATAAAAAAAAAATCAAAATTACATACTCTTTGTACAAAATCGAAACGAATAGCATATCAAGTCGTAAGCATTGTTTACACAAGAAAGTCTTTTACTTAAGGTCGTATTTACTTCAACTCGTCACAAAAGGACAGGGTTATTCTCTGCAATATATTCATGGCTATCAACATTCATAATTGCTTGTGATGGAGAACTGAACGCCAGACTTTTGCATGCCTCATGACCAAATGCATAATCATGCGTACCAACAGCGACTGTGAAGTGTGAAGTTTCGTGAATGAGTGTACCAGCTTTTGAATCAGTACCTGTGATTGAAGCCGACCAGAAAAAAGAACATAAGTGGATTATGTATGACTAATTCGTGTAAACATAAGCAAAGGTACCGGTTTCTTTGCATCCACAATCAAAAGTGATAGACTTCGAGTTAAAAATGTTTTTGATATTTCGATAGTGTGCTTTCTCTGTATTCCAATTAGTCAATGTAAATCTACCAAACCAAGTCTTATAACGATTTGTTCCAGAAGGTTCAGTCTTATTCAAGTAAATGAAAGAATTATCAGTATACTTAAGAGCCCAAGAGACAGCTTGGTTTATCTGGGATTTCTGGGTTAACGTACAAGAAACATATGAAAGAGTAGCTGCTCTTCTAAACACATTCATAATGTTAGTATGTTGATGTTGCATATTTGGACGACCTTCGATTATCAATTGAATATCATTTGACTGAAGACCAGAATGACGCTTACGAATTGACCTGAAAAGGATACTTTCGAATGTTCGAGCATGCTTGTAGACAACACGTTCAGTTGGCATATCATATTGGATTGAATAAATGCCGGTCTTGGTCATATCGTATACTGATGATAATCGAGCTTGAATGATTTTTGTTTTTCCAGGTTCTAGAGGAGTCATATCTTCAACAGTTAGTGCACGTCGTTTCATTAATGGACCGACATAATCAACAGGAATATCATTACAAGTTACTTTGAATAATGGATCACTCAATTCATTGCTTGGTAAACGCCAGTTATAAATCGATATTGTGTCATTACTAGTGTTATTGTATTGCACTTCCACTATTACATCTTGTGTTTTATCAAACACTGCTCGAGCTGAAAGTACTTTCACTTGCAAACAACTTCCACAGACATTAGTTACCATCATTGCAATTACAATTGCAATCAACATAACAACATATTGCTTGTTCATTTTTGTTCAAGGTATCGTAATCAATTTGTATGATAATAGGTTTTCTTTGTATAGAGAAAAAAAGAAACTGCATTGAATTTATATAGGAAGTCCATTTGAACATAATGTTTAAGTACAAATATTGTACGCAATTTGGTTCATTCTTCACAATAGTTGTACCCATTTTCGTATCAGTAGATCATATACAGTAAATCGATTTGAAAACAATCTCAAAAGTACACTATTTTCTACCTTTAGTACAACATTATTATCGTGACTCATATCCAACATGGATATTAAAGTATGGCGTAAACAAAAGAGCAGCTAATTGAAAAAAAAGAGTATCTGAGTGAGTGTGAGTTAGTAGCGTCAAGGTAAAATATCATTTGACATAAATTAGAGATTTAGCTTTATCATATAATGAAGCTACTTAGACATGGTCTTTTTGTCATTCACACAAACGATTATCATGATATATCTCTCTTCATAATTTCCTTTGTTGACTTATGAGTTTTATTGGTTCATTTTTTTAAATACAATTGATGATACTAATCTTGGTATTAGTATGCAAGCAGTGAATGTGTAGATTTCATAGGCACATCGAACATTCTCAAATATATTCAAACTATATTAGTGGATGTTACTGAAGAAATTGTTGCGGGACCTGACTGAAAATAAATACTACATATTAATGGCTTTTTGACGGAAAGAAATATTTTGGTGCGTCACAATGTATTAGAATCTATGAGAAACTAGGAAAACGTGGCGAAATTACAGGATGAGCAACATATTGTGTTATTGACAGAATAAACCAATGACAGAATTAAGAGATAAAATACAATATAGAGAATATGTAATAATAAAAGACAGAAAACGAAACCCAGAACAGAAATAAACTGAAATACTATGATTAGTTATGTTCAGTTTGAATCATAGATTGTTTGTAGATAGGAAATTATAGTTTTTCGGTCTCATTTTCGACGTTTTATTATTACTCATAGAGAACGAAAACAAAGCCATGTGATTTCTTACTAGTCATAACTCGAATCTGTCTTTTTCATTCATTTATGGCATCTCTTCTCTTTTTCTTTTTTCATATATCGAATCATTATCGGCTAGTTCTATAAATTTGGTTTTTCCAAGTATAAAAAGTTTGTTTGAGTAAGATACGTTCAGCTAATAATACATCACCGAAGCAAACTCCACACAGAGACGAGAAAGAGTGGAAGAAAAAGAAAAACAATCGGCCTTGATATGTAGGGAATGGACATGTTCTACAAGAGAAAAACATGTATATTCACACGAGAACGAAGAAGATGACAAAACTAAAAAAATCTATCCTTGCCAGAATGCTGTCTAACGATTACTAGTTGAGAAATGAACTTCTCTATTGTATTCCAAGTATTCAGAAATTCGAAATCGATCTCTACAGACATGCATCTCACAAATACATCGAAATCGATAGCTGTTGCCTGTGTCTGCGAAACTCAAAGTTATCAACGTTAAGTTATGCTCAGAATCCGAAATACATACATGATATATACAATTGAATTCTATGTCGAATCAGCTAATGCAGATGAACAAGACACACTGAGCAACAGAGAAAGTTTTTGTTTAAAAATAGTTCATCATTATGTAATGATAGTATCAAGGAAAACAATGTTTTTTATTTTTAAGTGCCGAAGCTCATCGAGTCGTTTGAATTCGGTGAATCCTACAATAATCACTCGCTAGAATTTACCCTCTTTGGTTTTACAGCTGTAAATAATAATCAGAAGGCGCTCTTTTTTTATAGAGAAAGTTTAGAAAAAGCTAGCTATCTATTATTCATTAAACTAAAAAATTTTCATTTAACATCTGATAATGAAATCTTTTGTTAGTAACATAGGATTGTATAATACATTGAGATTGAAGAATTTTCGATTTTTGTAAGAATTTAAAACAACTTATCTATATTTAAAGACTATTACTTTACTCGTGATAATAATTCTTTTATTTTTAGGGGTGTGAGTATCAAGTCAATGAAAAGAACACCGACACACTCATATCTGCGTCCACATCTTATACTTACTAACGGTGATGCATCAGATTTGGCTTCCAAGATATGCAACAACACTTCTGATAGATATTATTTGCTTTGGTTTTTCTTTGTTAACATCTGTTATTTAATTTAGAGTGTACTTTGATGTTGATGATGATTCATCATCGTTGGGAACAGTAAAGTTCTAAAACATTATGATGTAGTCAATCAACATACACAATATTAAGTCACCTTGAACATCAAAATCCAATAAATTTCTCATCAATAACAAGTTCTTCATTGCTCAGAGCTTCAGGCTCTGTTTCAATATTTGTTTCCATTGATGGACAAAATATAGGATTATACAGAGATCATATGTGTATTATTTTCGGATATTGACGATTTGACATTAGTGAAATAGATAAAGTATATGCAAGAATCCATGAAAAAGAATCATCGTAATTATGTATCACAAAACAGATGAAGAAACTTGTTTATAGTTAGATAACGAAAAAAACTAAGAGATTTATTTAGATTCATCTATAGAAAAAAATCCAATTTCAAAATTAGCTCTGTGAGTTGTTCACATCTACCTAATTTCTATATCAGTATTGGTTGAGATTTGGAACTAATTATGAATATTTATAGATATGAAAAGACAAAAATTAAACAGTTAATTATTTTGGAAGTGACTAAGCATGTGCTTCATCACCAGTTGAACAGTTTCATCTTGTACCTGTTGAAGTTGTTGCTGTTTATTAGATATGTGTAAGCTATAATAATAATTATTCAATACGATGTAGGGAACATGAAGACGGTAAATATAACGTTGAATTTGTTGTTGCCCTGAAACTTGTCCTGTTGCAGGATCAATATTCTATAAAAACAATAATAGACATTATTTTTAGCAAAGATGAATTAATCATTTTAAGTTGTTCGAAAATGACACAATTTACCTCTATAATAGGACGTATGAGATGTGCCATATTTTTGCAACATTTCCTGTTTCGCATCTATCTTGGTCGAAGAAAATGATAAAATCTTGTATTTTTTTTAGAAGATAAACTGTGAAATGCCCCAGAAGAAACTGTTTAAAAAAAATTCTATTGACGTGTTTTGTTAGTATGTTTCAAGCCAAAAATGAACAAAACCTATCATAGTGTTGTTTCTACCCATTATTAAGAATCATAAAAATTTTTTGGAAGAGAATCTTGATTTCTCTGGTGAAGGATGTGCTGTCGAAAACTCTCCTTAAGTAGTATGAACTAACTCCTACCCTATTGCAAAATAAAAAGGTTGTCCAAATGTTTTTCTATTATGATTAATTCGGTTGGAAATAGACCTATTCAT